CCAAAACTAATCTAAGTCGGTGTCTGCGAGGAGGCCCTCCAACCGCGTACAGCACAATCAGTGAGGAAAGGAACGACAAGGAAAATCGCTACAATACGTCGCAGGACACTGCGTTACTGCGCATCACACGGAATCAAATAAAGTCGAGCTCGCCCTTGCAGCCAGCATGTGCTTGATCCACCCTTTGCGATGGGAAAGCCACGCTTCCCAGGGAGCCTAACCCTATAGACAAGTCTCTGGCGGCTAGCAGAAGTGGAGCAGGGGAGCGGCTGCCCCATTTTCCCGGAGGTCTGCTGGACCACTTCCCTGGGGCCAGTTTTCCGTCCCGAGTCGTTTTTGACGGCCCTGGGGCCTGGCGAGGGCCCCCGCAAATGGAAAACGACATAAAATCCTAGAACCCGGCGCTGCAATTGTTGTTGGAGCATCGGATCTCTGGGGGGAGGAGAAACAGGAAGAGCAGGAGGATGAGGAGGAGGAGGAGGAGCAGGAGACAGAGCAGGAGTAAGAGGAGCAGGAGCAAGAGCAGGAGGAGGAGGTGGAACAGGGGAATGGGGTCGGCCGCCGATTCCTGGAGAAGGGGGGAGGGCGGAGTGGGAGGACCGAGCGGATAACACGGCGCCATGGCCAGACTCCTGGACACCACCCGGTGGAGCAAGAGCGCTCCCGGTCGCACCCGCTCTCGCTCCTCAGTCGCAGTCGGTTGCAGTCCCAGGGAGCCTCGCCGCCTGCTGCTGCATCTGGAGCAGGGTGTCGATCTTGGTCTTCAGGTCGGCGACCTCCGTGTGAAGCCCTTGAATGCTGATCTCCAGGTCCTTCGCGTACTGGGGCTTCGAGTCCTCATCCAGCACGGGTGCCTCCTTCGGGCTCGCAGTCTCGGCCACATCGTCCGCACCGTCGGTCTCCGTCGACGACATGCCGTCGAGGAGCACCGCCACCACGACGTTCAGGATAACGAAGGAGTTGATCAGAATGAAGGACACGAAAAAGACCGATACCCCGAACGTAGACAGGTCTCCCCTGTTGTCCTCGGCATTCCGCGTGGCACTGTTCGTCGTCTGGAAGTAGTGGAGAATGGGCCGAACGCCAGCCTCCGACCAGGACTCGCCCGTAAGGATCTGGAAAAGAGTATACAACGCCGCGGTGAAATTTCCGTAATACTCCGAACCGTAACATTCATCGCGGCTCGTGCGTGCTCCAGGAGGCGGCACCGGCAACACGCATGCTTCTCTGTAAAGGCCTCCGAAAGCGTCTACAGCAAGAACTGCGTAGATAGACATCACAATCAGTAATAGAATGAAGGCGTTGATCACCCCTGGTATCGCTTTCCAAATCGTATCGATGATCTTCTTCAAGGACTCGACGCGGCCAAACAAGCGGAAAACCCTGAAGGCGCGGAAGAGGCGCACGATTTTCAGCTGGGGCGGGTAGTCGAAACCAAATATCAGGGATAGGAGGTCTATGATGCCGATGGAGACGACGAACATATCGAAGAGGTTCCAGCCCTGCGAGAGGAACGGCCACATCCAGCTCCCGTACATGTTGATCAGCAGCTCAATCAAGAAGAGTACGTTAAATAGTGTGTCAATGGTCTGCCACAAAGTCTCGTTAGACTTGTCGTCTGAGTGGGTATACGCCGGATCCACCTGCCGTTGTATGACCTGGCAAATGAAGTTCGCAAAGATGAGGAAGGCGACAGATACCTGTACGTAGCTCTGCTTGTGGTTGACGTCCTGGTAGAAGTCGTACACCGCGACCTGGTGCTTCCAGAAGCTCTTCATCTTCGCCTGCTTGGCAGCGTCTGCGATGATTTTCCGTCTGCACTGGAGTTGGTCCAACCTGCTTCTAGAAGGATGGCGGTCAGGTCCTGCGTCCAGCGTCTTGTCGTCATCCTGGCCGTCCTGAGCGGCGTGCACGGCGGCCACGTTCCCAACGCCCATGGCCATCGCGGCACCCCTGGGCGCCCGTGGCGGGCGCTGCCGCGCGCCGCCCGCGCGAAACCCACAATCGACGCGGCACCGCTTGAGCCAAAGTGGTTACGGAACCATGCTGGGGCCACCTTGGGTAATCCTGGGACCCTCGTGGGCCGTCTTGTTGGGCCGTGTGGTGCCGTCGTGGGGCCTTCCACGAGCGATCCCGCGGCGATGCTGAGCAAGTATGTCAAGCTTGCTGTGGGTGTCCCTGAAGAAATCGCCGCTTTCGGCCCCACGTAGGGCAATTTGATCCGGGGGTCGGGCTGCCAACCCTCTCGAACTCCGCTAATTCCCCCCCCCGACGAGCGGATCGCACGCGAAGCGCGCTTTCCGCTGTCCGCCACCCCCCGTGCTCGCCACTGGGGTGCACGGCGTGCCAAATGCTTGTGAGGGGGCCCAGGAACACACAAATAAATAGACAATAATCCAAGGATTCCCAATATTTTCCAATACTTTCTTGGTGTTGGTCTTCCCCCCCACTCTCCATCGTTCCCCATCTTTTCCAGAGGATCGACGATGAATTGTGTCTGTGTGTGTTTTCCCCCGCCTGGGCTTGGTGGTGTTTGGTTCTCTGAAAAAATCCGAGTGGGGTCTCGCCCCAGCCCGCCGGCCAGCAGGAACGCCTTGGAAAATCCAGAACCCGTTGCCCAAATCGCCTCCAAGACGGCCAAGATTGACCCCAGGATGCATCCAAGACGGGAAAGATGACCCCAAGAGAGCCTCATATAGCCCCAATGTAACCTTTAAAACGGTCCCAATATGCCCCCAAGACCACAAAGATGGTCCAACAGAGCCAAAGACGGCTCAAGAAGCGCCCCAGAGGCCCCTACGACGGCCCAAGAGACCTCCCAGAGGTCCTCCAGAAGGCCCGAAGAGGCCCGAACCAGTGACTCCCTGAGGTTGTTGAAGGATTTGGGCGTTTGACCCAAACCTGCCTTCCGACGACCCAAGACGGCCCAATAAGCCCCAAAATTGTCCCAAGACGGCCCTGGATTGAGCAGGGACCGACCGTCCCGGCATTCCTATAGTCATACCACGATTTTTTTTAAACCCAAAAATGTGTCAAGAACAAAAACAATGTGCTTAGAACATAATCCGATGTTTCAAAACAAGACGGTCCCAGCCAGAAATGTTCTAAGAACATGTCGTGAAATCACAAAAGGTTCTTAGAACATTGTTTGGTAGGGCTATAGGCGAGCCAGGACGCTTCGTCACTGCTTGACTGGAGGCCTCTGAGATGGCCCCAAGACGGCCCAAGAGGCTCCCAAGACGGCTACCAGGGCCCCAAGACGGCCCAAGAGGCCTCCAAGACGCCCAAGATGGCCTTCAAGACGACCCTGAAGCGCCCTAAGAGGGCCCCCAGGCTCCCAAGACGGCTTCCGACGGGCCAGGAACGCTGTAAGACGGCGGAAAGGGTTTCCAAGAAGCCCCCGAAGGCCCCCACGAGGCCCAAGGAGGCCCCCAAGAGGCCTCCAAGAGGCCCCCGGCAAGCTCCCAGGAGGCCCCAAGAATGACCCGAGAAGCTCCCAGTAGGTCTCCTCATCCTTCTCCTCGTCCTCCTTTTTCCACCCTCTCCACCCCGCGTGCTCCCCAGAAGAGCTCTCCACAGCGGCTGGGAGGGCGCACGGACCGGCAGCGTGGCCAAGCTTTGTCCAAATGCTTGGCCGCACCGGCGCATCCTCAAAGGCGGACCCCCGTGCTCCGTCTTCCTCGTCGTGGTCCGTCCTTCTTGTCCTCCATCTTTGAAGGGGCCCTGGGACACACAAATTTTCCGGCCCAACGGGCCAGAGGCGTGCTAAGATCTCCGGTGACTGCTTTACAATCTTTCTATTTCTACTTCGCGCGCGCGGGGCGGCCCCTGGGGGTCCCCGGGCGGAAAGTACCCCGGCAAGGTCCTGAGAGAAGCCCGGGAGAAGTCACCAGGGCGCTCCAGCAGCGCACCAACGCGGCTCCGAGACGTCCCCGAGAGCCCCAAGAAGGGCCAAGAGGCTTCCAAGAGGCCTTCAAGATGCTACACGAGGGGTCCGAGATGCCACAAGATCGCTCCAAGACGCCCACGATGGCCCCCAGACGCCCCAAGAGGCCTCCAAGAGCACTCCCGAGAGGGCCCCAAGAGGCAAAATTCATTGTTTTTCCTAAGGTTTTGGAAGAATTTTCACGTTTCCACCTTTTCGGCTTCACGACACCCCAAGACGGCCCAAGAAGACCCCAAGACCGCCCAAGAGGCCCCCAAGAGGGCCCCAAGACGGCCCAAGAGGGCTCCAAGACGGCCCAAGAGGGCCCCAAGGACGCCCCAAGAGAGGCCCCAGGGGGGGAACACGAAACAATATTTCGAGCCCTCGGCCCTCAGAAGTCCCCAGGAGGCCCCAAGAGGCCCCTAAGAGGCCCCAAGAGGCCCTCAACAGGCCCTCAGGAAGCCCCCAACAGTCAACGGCGGTGCGCGATATGGGCCGGCGGAATGAGCGAAGCGATTAAATAAATACATACAAATAACAAGAATCCCCACACGTCCCCATATTTTTTGGGTTTTTGCCTTCCCCCCCACTTCCCATAGTTCCCCGCATTTTCCTGGGGATCGACGATTCATTCTGTCGGTGTGTTTCTCCCCCTCCTGAGTGTCCTCCAAAGCGGACCCCGTGCCCCGTCTTCCTCGTCGTGCTCCGTCCTTCTCGTCCTCCGCCTCCCTCCCCCTCCGCCTCCCGGGCCCCTCTCCTGCCCCACAGGAGGCAGGAGAGGGGGGGCAGAAGGCGGACCCCCTGTGCAGCGTCCTCCTCGCCCGCCAACCCCCCCGTGGGGTAAGCGAGAGGCACGGCTGCCGCTGCTCCCAGGAGTGCGCTCTGACCAGGATTCCTAGGCGAGTCCAGCGGTGCCGACGAGGGCCGCCCAGGAGGCCCAGGAAGAGGAAGACGGGCAGCGTGTAGCGGTATGGGTACCTTTTCCTCCTCCCCCCTCCTCCCCCCTCGTTCTCCCGCCCCCCCCCCTCCTGCTTCTTGCTCCCCCTGCCTGGGCCTCCCCTCTCTGCCAGCAGGCCTGCGACAGCTCGGCGCAGTCGAAGGGCTCCGAGGCGCCACCAGAAGCGCAGGCGAGGGAGAACCTGGCGGGCGGGCGAGGGGAAGGGGCAGAACGAGCACCAAGAGTACGTAGCATCAGGGAGCGCCATAGTGGGGCACGAGCCAACATGTACTACGAAGGGAAAAGCAGTCCAGTCAAAAAAACCGGACGCCCCCCCCATCAACCTGGACAACCCGTGCGGATGAATGACGACAAGACGGCCTGCCCCGGACAACCCCTTGGATTACCGGGCGGGGACCTGGACAACCCTCCGGACAAACCCCCCCCTGGGATGCTTCTCCCACAATATAGAAATTTGAAGGGGCCCCAGGACTCACACAAATAAATACACACAAATAAAAAGGTTCCCCATATTTTCAAATCTTTTCTGGGTTTCTGTCTTCCCCCCCCCTCCCTATACTTTCCCATATTATTCTGGGGCATCGACGATTCGTTGTGTCTGTGTGTGTTTTTCCCCTCCTGAGAATTGGGATCCGTGGCTCCGGCGCGCGGGCACCACATCCACAGAGCGGGGAGCGCAGCCCCCGGCACCTTGCGCCGCTGCGGCCCGATGGGGCGACGGAGGGCTCCGACGCGGCGTGGCAGCGGGGCCCGCCTCTGACCCGCGCGCCCTGGCCCCTGCCTGCGCCTCCTCGGCCGTAGGCTTGGGTCGGGCCTGTCCCACAGGGGGATCTTGGGTGCAAAATGAAGAGTACGAAAAAAACCCAGATGCCCAAAAATGGTGAAAAAATCGTCCACTGACTTTTTAAAATACTCTTTGAACGATCCTCCTGTAGAGGGGCGGGCCCTAAATAAGGAACGAGGACCCTTTTGTCCCATCCGTTACAGCTCCATTCCCCATCGAATACCCAAGGAAGACCTGAGGCAAGCTGCAAAAACAATGCAGGAACACGGAGCCCCTCCCCGACGAAAAGGGTTCCTTCCTCAGCGCCCCGACTTAACCGCAGGCCTGCGCCTCCTCGGCCGTAGGCTTGGGTCGGGCCTGTCCCCCTACAGGGAGATTTTGGGCGAAAAATGCAGAATACCCCAGAAACATACCCCCACCCAAATGCTCAAAAATGGTCAAAACATCGTCCCTCGACTATCTTTTTACTAGGTTTGAATCTTCCTCCTCTAGAGGGACGGGCCCGACTTCACCGCAGGCCCGAAGCGCACACGGGCTGCACGGGCGAGCTCTGCGAGGGCAGGCTCCGCAGGCGGAGGCGCGGAGCCCCGTGCGGTGAGCCTCCGAGAGGGCCCCCGCCGAGACAACCCGCCCGCCGCGAGCGCCCGGCGCCCTATAGTCTGCGCACCCCCCCGGGGGCGGCGCCGAGGGCAGCTGGCGCGCTCCCTGCTGGGCCTGTCTTCCACCACCACCACCAAAGGTTGAAGGGGGAGGGGGTCCTCCTCCTCGTCCTCCTCCGCCGCCTCCTCGTCCGCCTCCGCCTCCTCCTCCGCCTCCTCCGCCTCCTCCGCCTTCGCCGCCTCCTCCTCCTCCTCCTCCTCCTCCTCCTCCTCCTCCTCCTCCTCCTCCTCCACCTCCTCCTCCTCCTCCCTCCCCCCTCCAACTTCCGGTGGCGGATGGTGGAAGACGGGCCCACCACCCCCCGCGCAGCAGAGGGCCCCCTCGCTGGCCCCCGCGGGCCCGACCTTTTGCCCGACCGTGGCGGTGCGCAGCCGGCGCCCCGCGGCGGGCCTCTCGACGTGCAGAGCTCGCGAGCACGTCGCTCGGGGTCCGGGGGCCTCTGTACTGTTAGGTCGGGCACGTCCCCCTACAGGCGGATGTTGGACGATTTCTTTGCTTGAAAATGATCAGAAAGTGATAATACAGTCAAAAACGCATATTCAGGACGCGTGGTAAGGACGCAAGACCCTTGGAGGCCGAGGTTGGGTTTTGGAGGGCGGCGGGCGACCAGTGATACTGGCAAGGACGGGCCTCCGAGGCAAGGACACAAGGGTACCCTAGATGAAGGCGCGCTTCCTTACTAGGCGCGTTGACTGCACTGTTAGGTCGGGCACGTCCCCCTACAAGCGGATGTTGGACGAACGTGTTTTGTTTGAGAATGGTCCTGTAGTGATAATAGTCACACTGAGAAAACTAAACCAAAACCAAACAACCAAAAAACAACGAGCAAATAAATTAAGCACTGCTTCAAAACATCGTCCGCAGACTATGTTTCCTACCTTTTGAGATTCCTCCTGTCGAGGAACATGCCCGACCTAAACCTCATGGAACAGGTCGATCCAGACCCGGGGGGTCAGTCAGGATTTGCAGGATCCTGCAGAAGCCCGAGGCTCCTGCAGGATCCTGCACTCAAGCCCGGGTCAGGGCAGCCCTAGCCCTGCAGGATCCTGCAAGACCCGGCGTTCTGACTGACCCCCGTCTGCATTGACCCCCGTCTCGTGAGCCCCGAAGGGTGCCGCCACGGCGGTCGCCAGCTCCCGCCACTCGTCAACGACGCGGCCAGCGCCGAGCCAG